CCTCCTACTCCTTCTCCTCCTCCTCCTCCTACTCCTCTTCCTCCTCCTCCTACTCCTCCTCCTGCTGCTGCTGTTTTCTCTCTTCCATCTTTACCTCCCTCTTCCAGTTTCGTTACATCTCTTCATTCTTCGCCGCCTCCTTCCTCCTTTTCTTTTCACTTTCTTCTAATCCATTTCCTTTACCTCAACCTCATCCTAATCCTCCCCTCCTCCTCTTCCTCTATTCTCGTCCTCCTCTGTCTCTGTCCTCTTTTTCTCATTTTATGTCTTTTTCTTTCCCTCCGCTTTTTCCTCCTCTTCCTCATTTTCCTTCTCCTTCTCCTCCTCATTCTTCCCTTCTCCTGCTCCTCCTTTTTCCTCTTTTTCTCCTCCCCTTTCTCCGTCTCTTCTTCCTCTATCTTCTGCACTTCTTCGTACCCTTCCTCCTCCTCCTCCTCCCCCTTCCCCCCTTCTAGTCCCCATTCCCCTCCTCCTCCTCCTCCTCCTCTGCCAACCCCCCCTCCTTCTCCAACCCTCCTCCTCCTCCTCCCCCTCTCCTCCTCCTCCTCCTCCTCCAGCCCCTCCTCCTCTCCAACCCCTCCTCCTCCTCCTCCTCCCCCTCCTCCCCCTCCTCCTCCTCCTCCTCCTTCCCCCTCCTCCTCCTCCTCCTCCTCCTCCACCTCCTCCTCCTCCTTCCCCCCTCCTCCTCCTCCTTCCCCCCTCCTCACCCTTCCCCCCTCCTCCTCCTCCTCCTCCTCCTCCTCCTCCTCCTCCTCCCCTCTCTCCTTCCCCATGGTAACCCTCCTCCCTTTATTGTGAGGCCTTCCTTTGGGTCCGTGTTTCCGAGGCCCGTAGGTGTTAAGGCGTCTTCTTTTTTGTTGCTCTAGCCGTCTGCGTGGGAGGAAATTTTGTTGATATGTACTGTTGTTTTGAGCTTTTTGTCTAATTTTAAATGTATTTGCTATGATAGCTGTGTATTTTGTCTTATATAAATTTGCATGAACGATGTTGATAGTTATTAGTCATAAATGATAATGGTAATAGATAGATAAATTGATAAAAGTGGACAGGATAAGAACTTCAAACCTTCATTTCAACCAACTAGTCTCGAAAAAGAAAAGTGAATTAAAGATATCAAAGACAATAGCCTTAAAGCTTCACATCAACTCCTTGTCAATCACCATGTCTCGAAACAGATAAGTAAATGAAAGATTAAAAGAGAATAGTAAAAAGCGTCACCTACACCACCCACTCTCACTGCTCCACCGTCTTCCCCCACAGCCCAAGCATCCCCACTTCGTCATCGAATCGAAGAACTCCCACATCCGGCAGAAGTGCGGCTACCATTCCGGCTACGAGTGGGGCATGTGGGAGAGGAACTACAACCGGCAGAACCACGGCCGGAAGAAGAAGCAGGTTCGGCACCGCTACGCCCGCGATGTCCGTTCCACGCCCAAGTTCATCGAGACGGCGCTCTTCCTCGATAAGAAATTCGTGAGTGTTTTTTTCATGTTGTGTTTTGTGTTTGTTTGTTTTTTACGCTGATGTTTTCGTTTCAATGGGATTTTGTCCTGTTTTATTATCCCGATGCTAAATGTGAGTGAGAGAGAGAGAGAGAGAGAGAGAGAGAGAGAGAGAGAGAGAGAGAGAGAGAGAGAGAGAGAGAGAGAGAGAGAGAGAATGAGAGAGAGGGTGAGAGAGAGAGAGTGGATGAGAGAGAGAGAGAGAGAGAGAGAGAGAGAGAGAGAGAGAGAGAGAGAGAGAGAGAGAGAGAGAGGATGAGAGAGAGAGAGAGAGTGGATGAGAGAGAGAGAGAGAGAGAGAGAGAGAGAGAGAGAGAGAGAGAGAGAGAGAGAGAGAGAGTAACCGAGCCAGAGAAAGAGTCAGTGAGTGAGAGACAGAAACAGAGAGAAATCCCCGAGAGCGAAAAGACGAAAGACAAGACAGAGCCTAAGAGAAAAAGAATACCGGAGGAGGAGGAAGGGGGAGAGGAAGAGGGGAGAGGATAGGGGGGGGGCGAGTTCTGGGATCCAACAAGTGGGAATTATGCAGCCCGGCCGACGTTTTGATACCTGAAAATTGAGATCAAAGCGGACGGAAAGCTTGTTCAAAGGTGGCCGGTGACAATGGAGGAGACGTCGCGCTCTCGCTCGTTCGCTCGTTCTCTTGTTCTCTCCTTCGTACTCTCGTTCGCTCGATCTCTTCGCTCGTTTTCTCGTTCTCTCGTTCGCTTCTCTTCTCCTTCGCTCGTTCTCTTGTTCTCGTTCTCTCTTCCGTTCGTTCTCCAATCATTCGTTCATATTTCCTTCGTTCATTCTTCTCTCTCGTTCGTTTGTTCTCTCCTTCTTGTCTCATTTGTTTCTCTTTTTTGTTCGCTCGTTCTCTCCTGCTCCCGTTCATTCGTTCTCCGATTTTTCGTTTGTTCTCTTCAATCGTTCATTCGTTCCCTCTTTCGCTCGTTCTCTTGTTCTTCCCGCTCGTTTTCACGTTCTCACCTTTGCTCGGTCCCTTTTTCTCTCAC